CCCAATAAATGCAACAACTGATTCCCCAACAAATGCAACAACTTATGACCCAACAACCCCTTATGTCCCAATGAATACAACAACTCCAGAAGCAACTTCTGCTCCAACAACTACTCTTATAATACCAGGTATGTGATTCTAAACTATATTTAAATTGCTATCCTTGTGGATCAAGAATAACCCTTTTCTTTTTGTTAGAAAATTGGTTTTCAATTAGACTGTTTTCATTTATTGGAACATTACCGAGGGGTTGTTCTTCATTCCTATTTTATCACATGATTTAAAGTAGCTATGGGCAAAGAGCAGTCTTTATTTTTAGGTTATTAAATATGAAATAATGTGTTACTTTAACCAAAACTAAATGCAGTATTTTACATGTTTGTAGATTTGAATCACCTTGCCCACATCCAGATGAAGATCACCTCTTTCATAGATCTCAGCAATGGAAACATTACCGATCTCGTTAAGCAGGTATGTAAAATGGATCAATCTTCTTCAGTGACCATTCAGTTATACAGTGCACACAAAAGAAAATGTCAAACAAATCTTTTGCTTTTGTTCTCTCTGTTTAGTTTTTTAGAGAAGAGATCCTGAACGGAACAGCCCACGCAGTTGCTGTGAAAAGCATTCAGAAGACTCAACTTAGCCCATGAAAGCGTCCGTGCATAGAAGCCACGAATGACGTGCAGCAATTTACCGAGCAGTCATGTGCTCTTGACGGGATATATGTGGCTAACTACAAATTCGAAAGGAATCTCTCTATTGTATGAGTAATTATTCTGTCACAGATTTATATAACGTTTTAACCATTTCCAAACTCCCAAGCTTTGGAACCTTATGTATTTTTATAAATTACACATTGACAAGGAAATTGGCAACGATAATCATGGAGAGTTCCTCCTACAAAGTGTTTCACTACTGCAGAAGGAAATCATGATGAAAATGCTCATCAGATATACTGTAAGTCTGTCACTTAAATATCAATTAACTTTGTTTTTCTCAAAATGCATTCCAATTATGTAACATGGAATCTACTATACTATATATTGTGATGCTGACATTATCTCGCAAAATATTTCTTCCATAAAACGCTACACATAAATAACAATGATAGTCTTTTCTTTATCACTGTGAAAATGTACTTTCAGTAATCAGCTGTAAGAGTAATCTAAACTTACACAAATTAAGTTTGAACTATATTTGAGCTGGGATTTCTCATTCTATTTCTGTATTTGTCTTTGTTTCATTAAAAACATTTTTTTCATTAAAACTATTTAATATGTACTCACTGACCTCTTAAAATGAACTTGTATGCAACTTGAGATAGTTTGCAAATTCAACATATTCCCAGTTTTGGTAGAGAAAAGGAATACTTCCTGATGCCAATGTCTGATGCTGTGAGAGATGGGGATCTGCTAGACTGCAAAATTGTGTTGCCAATTCTTTCGCACCTTACTAATACTAACTTCATATATTGTGCTGAAAGACTAATAAAATATGTGTTAAGAGCTCTCCTAGTCTCATTTTATCATTCTTTTTTAAATGAATTTTATTCAGCAGGTAGATTAAAACATTGGTAACACATGTTAACATTGTTGTTTTAAAACATTACAAGAAAAAGAAAAAACAGACATCACACAATTCTTTTCAATCTTTGATGGAGCACTTGACCATTTGTAGAGGTTGATGACTGGATGCTGTCATTGTGACAGCATAAAAGCATTTTGATTCTAAAGGCTTTTCAATTTAAAATCTTTCAGTTTGTTGAAATACCGATTAAAATATTAAAACAAAACATTAACATTGAATTTACAGAGGAAGCTAATTTTCCTTTGAATAAAATCCAGGATACATCAATGGCATAAAGGCCTGGTTTTGGAGTTCATTCCCTGCTAATCGTCCTAAAGATAATATTGTTCACAGGTTACATGATATTGGGTGCACTGCAGTGACGACAACGGACAACAAACTAAATAAAAATATGATAATTAGCATATTAGGATCCAGCAGATTTTTTGATTGGCATACGGTAACAAAGACAAGCAGCATTCACTTTAAAAATCATGTCATCACTTCTGAACATTTTTCTTCTTCCCCCTCATACATCCACTGTGTTTGGCTCATACTTTTATGCAAGGCTCTGCGCAGCAGTGTCAACAGGTCCATGCACTCCGCCACTCCCCTAGGCAGAAAGAGCTCCAGAGAGGACCAAGAAGTATGCGGTAGAATTGATTTGTTCACATCCTGGAAAATTTATATATAATAAGAGAACCGTAAAGACAAAATTTTACACCAAACAGGTGCAAGAACACAGCTTTGAGTACCATGAGAATACATGTTTTTAAATGTATTCTAAAGAGAATCTAGGTGTGTATGGGGGGGGGGGCAACAATGATTCAGTGTAATTAGAGTACAAGGAAATGAAACTGGATACTGATGTGAGAAGCTGGTATTGTTACTGGTATAATGGAGGCACAAAATAAAAAGGTTAACGGAGGGTTAACCCTTAAAATAAGGGTTAACTGAGGTTAAGCTTTCCGAGAAGGGAAAAAAGCATGAGCTGGAGTGGGAAGGTTCGAGGACATTTATGGTGTTCTTTGATTTGGCTGAAAAGGTCTCTTGAACAATGATTTACGTCTAAGCATAAATCTACCAGTTTCCAGTATTAAAACTGCAAGAAGCAACCTGTTCCAAAAGGATATAAGTTAGATTCTGAGAATACTTTAATGTGAATTATGAATATTTAAGTTATTTTCACATTGATATAATCTCACCTGGCAGTAAAATAGAAGAGAGACTCTTTTGTGCAACCCAAGAGGAGGAAGATGGTCAGCTCCTGTGATGAAGACGAGGAGATCTTCTAATGAAAAATCTGTCCGACCATCTGATTGTGCAGAGAGTAGAGTTACAAATGTTATCATAGCTGAAACACTTTTGATGTTATTCATCGCATTCTAGGTTTTCCTTCAACCAGAGCCTGATCTTCTTTTCCTCCATCCTCATGCTTACCGTTGACCATGGAGAGCACCGTTTCCCAGTGTGTGACTGTGACCTCCTCAGCTGTCCTCAGCTGTGAGTCTGCATGGCAGTAGCAGACAGTGAAGAGCTGTTTGAACTCCTCCATGGTGAGCACTTTCTGCTGTGTGCTCGTCATTACAGGTAAAAACATCTCCCAGTGGGATTTCACCAGATGCCACAAACCACCACAGCTGTTCAGCCCCTCAATGAACTGGGAGATCATACTGGCCACCCTGATGTTTGGGGACAAATAAGGTTTTCAGCAGCAGCCATAAATGCATCGGAGGACAGGTTTTTCTCCATAAATAAAAAATAAAACAAAGGGGATAAAAACGCTCTTATATGTCCCACCTGTGGTAGATGTAGTGTTTTACTAGGCGAGCATAAATGGCTGGTATTTCATTTGACTGGGCTGAGTGGATTCCAGGTATTCCGCAACATGAAACCCAGTTACAGAAGTTTGGAGGAAGCAGTTTCACATCATGACAACACTGCAGCTGTAACAGGAGGGACAGGATTAATGACAGAGAGAGAAGAATGAATACGGTAACAGAGCAGGAAGTAACACAAAGATTTTTTTGCATCGGTTGTTGGTTTATCTTGATGGTATGCTGTAGAAGGACAAAAGACCATATCAGATTATATCACAAATTAAAACCAGAAAGAACCTCCTCTGCTTGAAATCACAGCATTACCAAAATGATTGGACATCTATCTCCAGTCCTCTGTTAAACTAATAGGATTATTTAACTGAATGAAGAACTGAAACTCATTCATCAAAAAACACATTAAATGAACTAAAACTGCATTAGAGTTAGTTTCAGAGTTGGGTCGGTGAGTTATGTGGCTGCGTTACCTCTTGCAATCGCATTTGTGCTTCAGTATCAGCTATATCCATCCAGTTAAAGTTTTCCAAGATTGGATTCTGGCAACACATAAGCTGCAATAATGGATGAAAAAGGGTTTTTTTTTTTATCAAAGAATGGTACAGAATTGCTTAGGCTACAAGTGTGCTTGAAACAGGGAAATGAGCTTTGAATCTTTCTTTTAGAAATGATTATATTGACTTGGAGTCAGGAAATGTTGTTAGCATGCATATCTGACCCATTTGGCTGCTGAATTCTCCACAATGACACCAAAATCTGCCATAAGGTTTCCTACACTTTCTGGAACTTGAGTGAGATGATGATTCAGTGCAGCCTTAAATGAACTTGAACCTGGTGACTTAGTGTAAGTTCAAAATCAAATAAAGAATGCTGCATTGGACAACACTGTAATGCCCATATACTGTAAATAACAGCAATGCAGTAGAAACTTATGGATAAAAAAAAAAAAGTATGCCAATTTCGGAGTTGTTCTGTCATGTGAGAAACTTTTCAATTTGGTTTTGAATGAAGAAAATACAATGATTTTAATTGTGTTGATTTGATAAAATCTTTAGCTACCAACTAAGAATATCTCCTCCGCACATTTTTCTGTTTATCAGCAAACCTGGTAGAGAGCAGGATGTAGACAACAAGGCCCGGGCCCACCATGAGACAATGACCAGCCAATAAGAATCCCTGCTTCGTAATACTTCCTGTCTTCAAGCGCTGTGAGGTTGTAGGTCAAGAAGAGGCGTCCTGGGCGACCCTCAAACACACAACTTTGCTGAATCCCTAGCATAGTCAACCTATAAGAAAATAATTTCAGTCTCTAGTTGTGGAGCAACAAATGAGAACTTTATAGATAAGTGCCGAAATATTTGAAGGGTGGAGAAATTGAAACCTGAACCAGAAACCTGAAAAACTCCCTCAGAGGTTCCTCATGGCTGCTGGTTTCATCGTCACTGAATGAAATGATAGGTGTCGATTTGTAGCAGAAGCCTGGCTTCCTCACTGCTTTCAGAGCACAGTGGAGTGCATCTTCCCTCGTCACCTGGATATGGGTTTTTCCTACTACGTCTATGTTCTCCTGTCTGAACAAACTGAGGACTGTGTCCAGGTTGAGTGTGAGCTGCATATGGAAAAACAAACAAAATTGGTGTCCACACTATCCCTCACCAAGTGACTGAAAATGCTTGAATCCTGTACGTAAATGACAGGATTTAGAGTTTACAATAAACCAACCTTCTGTTGTGTCTGGCTGATGTGGGGCTGAATTTGTCTCACCAACTGACTGCCCTTTCCCACACAAAACTCTCTTCTGAAAGTGGATTAAAGTAATTAGCCTCAGGATCAGTTTTCAATGTTTTCTCACAGGGAATGCCGTCATACCTGTTCACAGCCTGAGTCTCACTCGCTGAACTGTCTGATTCTACCTGTTGCCAGAAGAATATTTCAGACAGGAAGGTTTTTCTTTAAGATGTGAATGGCTTCAAAGTGACTTACAATAGCCTCTAAGACACATACAATCAAAGGGAAACTGACTTGAAAGTTTTAGGGAAAGGCGTCAAGTAAAATTTAACAAGCAAAACCAAGTAGAGATACAAAACAACATGTTTTTAGTTTAAAACAAATTTACATGTTGAAGTTCAGGTGCTTAATGTAATCCATCAGTGGGAAAGGCATTAAAAATGTATCTACAGGGATCCCATTTGGTGTTGGTTTTATAGTAGAAACAAAGCTCTGTAACTGGCACATCAAGAAAGATTCAAACATAAAGCAGACAAAGAGTTTTTATGGGGTACCTGTGGGTAGTCGTGATGGCTGAGGATATACAAAGGACCATGTCCAGTGATCCTGAGTACCTGCTCGCTGGTCCAGCCATCCAATGGGGTATCTGGGACAAAAAGTACTCTGGAGCCTTGCACACACTGCAAATAGACATGCCATCACTTTAAAAATGTAGTTGGGAATCTTTATTCTGACAGACTGGAACCAGTGAGAACATCAAAAGTTAGAGACATATGCCCAACACACCTGTAAATATGTGAAAGAAAACCTCTGTCCAGGTTTCCTCTGAAACCGGCCCTGGAACAGCAACCCCAGTCGACTCTCCAACTGACTGGCTGACCAGTTATAGTCAATGGTGATGCGAGCGGTCAGTCCCAAGGCCTCAGCCACTTGTTTATTTTTGTTTGGGGAAATTTGTCTAGAGGAATGTTAAATAATATTAATCTATATTACAAATTCAACAACAGACTAGAATAAGCATACAGGTTTTGTCTTTATCTTCTATTTGTTGGGCCACAAAGCACAATGAATATTTATATTTCACTGATTAATCAGAACAGCTCCAACTCCAGTTATCCCTCACCTCTCCAGCTGTGCCGTGTAGTGTCCTTTGGGTAGACAGATCACATCTTTAACCACCAGTCCTCTCTTTGGAATCATTCTTTTCCACTTTAAATGAGTAGCTTTGCTGTAGGATGGCTGAAACACAAGACCATATTAATCTGCATAACTGAAACTAAATGGATCCACAATAAACACATGTTGATACATGGAATATTGAAATACTGCAAAAAAACAAAACAAAAAACCCTAAAACAAAACCAAAATAAATAAAGGAAAATTAGAATAATAATAAAAATAAATAAATCTTTTGGACATAGCAGGTTAAGAGATCTATAAATATGCTGTCTTTCCTAAGAAAGGTGCATGCATCAGCTTCCAAAAAGTTATTTTGTTTAATCAGTCAAAACCGGCTATAAAAAAAATATTTAGTCATAACCTGAATAAAAGACTAATTTCAAAATAAGGAAAAAGTCTACACAGAGCAGCACACATTCACACCCGTTTTTAAGAAATGGACTTTGTTTCTTAAAAGCAGATTGCACAATCAAAGCCTTTGAAGCATTAATGATGAACATTGCAATGCAGGAAGTCTCATTCTTTACTGTTGAAGTTATTCAATCAGTATGGGATTCTTTTAAGTTTTCTATCATGCGTCTAAATGCTCTCCTCCTTTCCTGATGGTGAAACGCAGTGTGATTCATGCCTCCCAAAAGTAGAAAACATATAAAAAAAGCCTCAAACACACCGAGGTCACGACTGAAGGATCATCTGACTTTATCTCCACTAGCTCAATGTCTGAAAGGCCGACGGGGGGGAAAATCTGTGAAGGGAAACAGGAATTAGAATGAACTCTTTTAAAAACACAGGCCTATGATAATAAGTACTCAGATCATATATGGTACTCTATTACAATAACTGTTAAAACTAATTGTCATCACCAACCTCGAGCTGTATCTCCATTTCATTTGTGAAGTCCATGTCTTGGAGGCAGCTGAGAGGCTCCTCCAGCAGAGGGGCCTGTGTTTTGCTTTTAGCCTGTTGCCTGACTTGAATGCAAGCAGGCAGCTCAGTGTCCTCCTCACAGTCACTCTTTAGAGGATGCTCCCTGTATCTGTAAGTCTGGGTTGAAGAAAAAGAAAAGCAGAAACAGCCACATGTCACATCCCACAGAACATGTTGGAATTTAAGGTCAATAGTTAAAAGTAAAGCTGTTACATCCATGATATTGGGTTTGAAATGTGCAGCTCACCTTAATTTGTATTACCAGGGAACGTATCGGAAATCTAACTTATTATTCGGAATATAAGAAGTTTATCACTATAACTATTTCTGTCATAGAAAACAAAAAAGTCCATTCTTTAAAGAGTGAGTTTCAAAGGATGCATTTCTTTTTTACTTACGGTCATTATGAAGAAGCTAAATGTTGCACAATAGTCTCCCCCCAAACAAAGAAAAAACTAAACAATATCTTTGCTTGCCAATTTTTTCTTATTCCTTCAAAAAGAACAATGCTGGCATGAAATTCATTATTGTTGATTTTATGTGCTTTACAGTTATGACCAATTCAAACTGGAGTTTTAAAGAAGCAGGTTTTGGGTAATGATCATAACTCTCCAAGGAAGAAATGAACCCTTTTTAAAAGGGAGGCAACATGACTTTTTTCTTCTTTTTTTCTAACCTTATCTCTTGACCTGTCTTGTGAGTTCAGGTTAAGGTCCACAGATTAAAAGGTATTGCATTTACAGTGGTAGAACCTTTGCTGAATGGCTACAAAGCTGAGTTTTTTGGGATTTTTTAACCTAAAACTGTTGGAAAAACGTACTCATTAGATATCTGACTGTCCAAATAAAGTGGGACATATTCGACTTTAAAAGTATTGATTTATACATTTAAAGCGAATGTGAATAGTTATCTCATGCTGCTATATTACATGCAGCTAGAGAAGAGGGAACATATAAGAGGGTCTCTTTGCGATGTGCTTTAATTATTCCTTTTACATAGCTTTCAGAGTTTCAGCATTGTTGTGCTACCAGAATAGAACAACAGATGGTCTTCGATGAAATCAGCGGCCTGATGTAAAAATCACATGCCGGCAAAAATGTATACAGTTGAATCTTGGAAACTTGTAAACTTACCAGCAAAGCATGACAATTTGAGATTTCATGTGACTCAATAGATGTTTGAGATTTTGAACAGTATATTATCCAACAGGCTGCCTGCTCCAACAGTCTGCTCGACAAACAAACCTGGTCCAAGACGTTTGCACCCCTCCTTTCTTGTGTTGTTATCAGCACGTAGCACTCCTCTGAAGCAAACAACTTCATCTCAATATTTTCTGAGATGGTAAGCATAAATGCTCTTTTGTCAGCCAGCGTCATCCTGTGTAATATCTCTAAAAACAACCAAATTCTTCACTTTGTCTTATATACTTTCATACGCTTGACATGTCTTCTCATGCCCGGTAAGGAAAGTTTTCAGTTAATTCTTCAGTAACAGTTTAAAAGATTGTACCTCTGAATTTCCAGGTGAGGGAAACCCTTGAAACCTCTGACCAGCTGAACCCTCGTTAACTCAAGCTGAGGTCTATCAGAGCCCTGAGCTCTGATTGGTTTATAGTTATCTTCTCAGACAATGATTGGTTTTGGGGACCATTTAGAAGCTATCATTGGTTGCTGGTTCAGAAGTAGCTTGTGTTTTACCAATATGTACTTCCACAAATGTGAAGTACTCTAACTTGTCTTTCAAGAGTTTTCTACAATTGTTATAGAGCTCATTTAATTGCTAGCCTGGCAAAGAATCTTTTGAGAAATTAATGCTAGAATAATACAAACAACTGCTTGAAGACTCAAGACGGAGCCTTGATGACAGACCATTCATCACAGTGAACCATTACCTAATCATGTTTTGTAGGAGGAAGGAGAAAATATATATATTTTTTCCTGAGTCACATCTCACTTCGGTGGTGACTTGTCAAACCACATACCCAACAATGTTTTATCAGTGTTCAATCATCTTTAGCGGGAACAATAGAGGCTCTTCTGTTTACCCTATCAGCAACTTCGACCTCATACCAGAGTTTGACATTAACCAGAAGGGACAGGTATGCAAAGAACGACGCTGTTCTGCTTTGATCAATAACTAAAGAGGCAACAAAAAAAAGCAGCTCTCAGCAGATAAAATCTGAGACGGTTCGTAGGCATGTGACAAACGAGGAAATCTTTCATTCTCACAGTAAGAAAGAAAAAATCATTTTTACTCAGCTGTGACACAAGCAGGTTGAAAGGCTGATATCCAGGTTAGATATTTACTGATCTAATCTAAAACACACAGCATTTTCTTAAGTAAAAAAAACAATCAACCGAAACAACTCATACAAGCTCACAGTTCACTCAATAGTGAATGTGTTGTTTCAATTATAAAAAAGGGATGATTAAAAACTATTTAGTATAAAAGCCAAACACAGAGAATCTTTAAAAAAAAAAAAGCAACCCATAAGCACATACTCAACTGTACACACATCAGCAAAAAGACAAACAGTGATACTTATTAGTTGCCAGGAATTACATAATATTTAAAATGTGATTGTTTTAGGTCAACCACAGATTACAGACACCTCAAGCTTCTTGGAAGTCATTTGAGCGTTACGCTGAACTACAAACAACTCAAGGGCCATCCTGAACACATCCTCCTCCTGCTTTAGGTTATGGATTGCATACACGTTTTCTTATGCCAGCAGGTGTCTTTGACTACATGTCAACAAGTGAGGCAGGAAGTATGATGCCGTGCCATCGTCAGGGATGAGCTCTAAGAACTCGGCCGGGCTTGTCTCCATGGCGACCACGACCAAAGTCTCTGTAAAAATGGAAACCAGAAACATTAAGTCCCCTTGATGCAAATAATTCCTAAAAAAAATAGCTTTCAGTCCAATTTGTCTGAATTTTCAAGATGACCATTTCATTAGTGTTGTCCATTTGGGCTCCTTATGTACTTTTCCAGTCTGCATTTTACATTTTGGACATGACAACTGTTTCTTTTTCCAAAAAGAAAAATTATCATTATTGTTTTGGTGTGTCACTCTTACTTATTATTACTTACCGGAGCTGTTGGTAAAACCAAATTGTTGTCATTCACAACACAAAACAAACCTGCATTGTAACTCACATTGTAAACACATTTCTACTAAACCATAAGTAACTATCAAACAAAAGCTATGTTCCTGCACCTTTGAGAGCACCCAGCAGGATGCTGTTGTCTGACGCTGCTCTTGTCCGGTTACAAAGCTCAGGTAGCAGCTTCTTCCACCAGAGCACCTGTAAAGATTAGACCAGCTTTCAGTGAACATGGGTAACAAAAATAAAACTATGAAGCTGACACATAAAAGGCTTTACGCACCATAAAGCTTTCTTGTAAGTGGTGGTTGGCATAGGCTATGATGGCCTGAGGACATCTGTCCAGCAACTGTTCAATGCTGTGTTCATACTGCCCCCTTCTGGTGGCACAGAGGAGGTGCAGGCTGAAGCCCCACAAGGTTTCCTCTGACAGACGCTCCAACAGAGGCATGATGGAGCCGAGAGAAAGGGACGGGCCGCACAGCAGAGACTACAGATACAGGCTGTTGTCAGTTGAGATCTACATAAATGTATACCAACTGCACCTTTATGGCAGCAGTCTTATCATTGAACTTAACGACACCACCTAAAACTGATTTAAATACCTGAAGCTTGTGCAGTGCCTCCTGCTGTTGGAAGCTGCCAGTGTAAGCTGGATTCAGAACAGAGAGCCAAGGGTACATAGCACCGTAATGAGAGCATGAATTGATCTGAAACAGACAACAGTGCAAGCAATTTACAGTTAGGGTGACAGAAAAAACATTAAACAATCGGCGGCCATACAGCAGCAGAAAAATCAAAATCCAGCAAAGTAGCTTACAAGATCATCTGCGCTCTTCAGTGACTTGTGTTTTGGAGATGCATCGCTGACAGAGTTTGTCAGCCGGTCGATGTAAACGGATGCCAGGCGGAACAGGAGCTCCTGAATAACAGCGTCCTGTGACGAGGCCATGAGCATCGCCTCCCAGAAATCCACATCTAAACTGTGCTCGCAGCCCAGCTCCTACGCACAAGCACACATTTCTGGTTTTAAACCCAGCATCTTTAACGTAGGATCTCTGCTAAAAATAATTCTGCCAGGTGAGAAGGAACAGCTGTGTGACAGATAGCAGGGTTTATATATAACCTGCACGATTGTGAGCCTCCGTGCACCAGCGACACACACCTTGAATACGTGATCAGCCTGATCCAGCTGGACTTTGCTGTTCTCATGCAAAGCGACCATGGCAGCCACTAACAGTCCAGGCTGGGAGGTCGCCAGCTGTCGAGTAACCGCTGTGGGATGGACCTGCATGTGCTGGCCGCCTCTACCACCATGCAGCAGAAGTCTGGGCTCCTCAATGAACCCATATACCATCAGCATCTGAAGACATCACATCCCAGAAACATTTTGTTTTTCTTTTTTTTCGGCTATTTTCTGTTGCGACAAGTGTACGATGACCACAGAGCACAGTGATAAAGAGCCCAAGATTTTGGAACATAAAATAACAGAAACAACATCCGAACCTCAGCATGCCGCCCCATCAGCTCTGTGTACTGCTGCAGGTCGCCCAGACGCAGCATCATGGTTGCCATGGTGATTGTTAGTGGCACACACACGCCAGCTGATTCCTCCAGACGCTGTAAAATCTGTAGTGTCCGGGCAGGATCGACATTCATCATACAGGGGCTGGCACAGACGCTGACGAGCAGCGATGCCTCTGACTGGCTGAAAATGTCAATGACCTCATCAGCAGCTTCCTGTAAGGCGCAATTTAGGTTCCTTATTATAAAAAAATAAAATCAACCAAACTTTGCTTATCCTGCTGTCAGCAGACAAATGAACAAATTGGCTAATGTTTTGCTGTACCTGACTGAGGCTCTGGTCTGTCTCTTCTAACAGGTGGTGTTTCAGGTAAAAAAGGAAGCCGGGGCCATATGTGTGAGGGCTGCCAGGAAGTGGGCGATTTCTGAACATGACCTCAGTGACTGACAGACCAGACATCCTGTAGTAGGGCAAAGCCAGGTGGCAATCCTTCGTGTTGCCCCTTACAGAACAAAAAGAACCAAATATAACTAAGAGTTTGCTGATCAGATGTTACCGAGTTGAAAACTATTGCCTGAAAATCATTGTGTAGTGCAAGAAATGTTTGACTCTATCTTTAACAAGATAACAAGAAAATAACAAGATTTTCTGAACAAAGAAAGTAAGGATTTCCATGACAGAGAAATCTAATGTACTAGAAATAGGGCTAATTTTGTCATCTTGTTGTCAGTATTATGGGGAAAATAATGCAATTAGGTCCATTTCTAATCCACAAAATGACTTACATAAGTTCATTTTAAAAAGTGAGTGCATTCATGACTACATTTTCTCCACAGGTTTCAAATATAAATATTCAGGACTGTGTGTTACCTGCTGAAGCAATCTCCCAGCTGGGCACAGTTCTGCCTGAGGGCCTCCTCCAGCTCTCGTCTTTCTGTCAGAGAAGTCGTCTTTTTATCAGTTGTCCCACTTGGTTGTGTCTGCAGAGCCTCTGCAGAGTTGGCCTCGCTGCTGTGCTGCTCTGATGTTTGCAGTAAGGAGGCTCGGAGGAGGAGGTGAGCCTCGCTGAGAAGGTGCCGAAGACTTTGGGCCTCGGGGTTGGTCTCTGCATAGCGCTGGCTGTACTCAACCTAACAGGCAGCGTTACACACAAAACATTCACAAATCTGCATCATAGCCAGTCATTTCTGAATATTACATGTACTTGTTTTTTTTTCTAGAAAGTCAACATATTTAGTGTGTTATGTTAATTTTCAATGGCTTCCTATACAAGACGGAAAAATACATAAAAGTAACAGTATGCCAAGTAGGTTTGATTTGTATACACGTCACTTCAGTGAGTGTGTATTTGATACCATCTCTTGGTAGAGTGTGAGGGGAGAGACTGTTTCCACAACATAGAGGTTCCACCCGTGTCCCACTGCACTGGTTTCTTTGGGCGAGGAGATTGTCCACTTCCTGCTCCTGAGGTCAAAAAGCAAAAAGAGAGGCAGCAACAGGCATAATCTAACATAAAGAAACACTCAGTCTGGTCTCAGGCTATGGAGATTAGTCATATTATTTCTGATTGTTTCCAAATTCGAAACTAGTGTTTCATTCTTGATGTTGGGCTTTTAATACAATAAATGATGGTGCAAAAATATAAAAAAAAAAAATTTTTAAACTAAGTGAAACAATGACACAGACAACTAATATAATGTGTGCTTCAACAGATGTGAACTCTGAGTTGGCTATGATTTTTTGTGAACCGTATGCAATGAAACCTTCAAACATTCTGTAATGGTATTGGGTGGAAGGCACGTTTTTTTTTAAATGTTTCCGACTGTATTTGGTTATCATTTCAGAGAACGGACGACAAAATGAAGACCCCATTAAAGAAACAAGAAAATAGAGAAAACCAACGATTCCATCCTAAAAGACACAGCTCATCAAAGTAGAAACAAAGGAGGGGCAGTCATGTGCTTTCTTTGTTTCTGTTTCATTTTAATTCTTTAATGGGAGAAATATCCTCTTGGGTTTCATTCTGCAAAACATAAACTGAGACAGACGAACATGGAGTACTTCATTCAAAATGGTAATCAGTTAGTTAACTGTTAGTAAACAGGTTAATATCGGATAAAGGTAACAATGCCTTCTGGTGCTGATTTGATAAAGATTCAAATATTGACCACCAATAATGCGATAAAGTGATGCCCACCACTGATGTTCCTGCAAGGTGCTGCTCTGCTTTAGGACTTTTTAGGGTGTTTTGTAAATTTACACTATTTATTTTTTCCTCTTAACTGTTTTATCAAGTGAACATCTGTGCCCAAGTGCATGGAGAAAAATGATAACCTGTTTAATTATGAACAGAAGAAATCCCCCAAAAAGTTATTTTTAGTTCACGCAGGTTTAGTTTGAGAGCAAACACACACACACCCAGGGCAGTTAGGCAGGTTATGGGCAACTAGCTGTGGTTATAAATTGGGAATTGTTGTCGTTTTTGGACCAAGCTGCAGCATCATACAGATATACAGATTATTTTTTAACCTGCATATTATTTAACTGTTGCTGTTGTCACATGATCTATTTTTAATCTGGAAGATTATGAACTTAACATAAAGCATTATTATTCAACAAATATTTCAGGATCTAATGTCTTTCAATTATTCCTGAAAATAAGCCTATACTGAGCGCCCCATGTGAGAGCATTTAATATTTATTATCCAAATTACAGCTAATTGTTTGTCAAAATACAAAAGCCTCTTTTACAGAGAATATCTTGACAAACTGCTCTTTTTTACGCTCATAAAGGTAAAAAAACTGCAAAGGATTTGGTAATAATTGGTTAAACTGAATATTTTTAGGGTCCTAATGCTGCAAATTAATCTGAAAGTGACAACAAAGGCTAGGGATGGGTTTTTCTTACAAGAAGGGACGTGATAGGAAGTTCTCCAGAGCTGGTGTGTTTGCGGGATTGATTCCCACCGCAAGGAAAATATCTGCCAGTATGTTGTTTTCTTTCAACTCGCTAAAATAACAATAAACATACAATAAAAGTTTCATGAATGCAAATTGCTGGTACTGATAGACTCCTGTTCAGACAGATCTGCCATCCACAATCCGGCAAACGAGATAGGTTGGATACATCTCTACAATGAATGTGTAAACAAGTGTGTGAGTTTAAAATGTGTGTCACTTACAGGCCTCTGCGCTGTGTGCTGTGTTCAGTTTCCTCGGGCATTTCTGCGTCAGCAGCAGAGAGCAGGATGACATGGCGGCCGTAGACGCACACTGACCGTAGACCAATGAATAACTGCATTCTGAGAGCACACACCTCCAGGCTGTACGGTGGACAAGCCTCACAAACACAGACACAATTTTGATACAGCTAACTTCCAGTCCACTTATAAACAGCCGCCATATATTACATTTCCACAAAAGAAATTGGAAGTGGAGTTAGATGTGTTGGTTTTGAAATTGAGTGAGAATAAGTTAAAGAGTCATTTTACAAAGCGTGTTTCCTGTTGTATGAATCGCTGGAAGAAGGTCAGCATCCTACCTTCATGGTGGTATCAATGTAAGGGTCTTCGATCCTGGCCGCTACTGCTGAGCAACGCACTGTAAAGCACTGCAACGCACTCCTGCCGGGCAAGCATAGAAAGCACGTTTTACATGTTCTAATTGTAAACAGACAGATAAAATCATCTTAAACTACTAAGTCTTAGTTGGTCTTATGTCCAAAGATTTACAATAAAAGCACCACCTATAAGGTATGGTCCACACTTTGAATTTAATTTTCTAATTTCTATTTCTATTTTTCTGTATGTCAGTGGCAAACAGTTTCTTCAACGGGCTGATGACATACTTTGTTATGACGTGCAACAGGTGATCTGTTAGCACCGCATCCACCACCTTCTCTGGGTACTGATAGGCTGAGAGCAGCTCCACTCCACCCTTCAGACTGTATAGGTAGCCGGCAGTAGGGAGAGAGAAGAAGCAGAACACACACGCAGGCTCATCCACACACACTGACTGGTTACCTGGAGAGAAAACAGTTATATCAGACAGCATGACCAAGACGACACATAGATAAATGTGTGTTTTTGTAATAATAAAGGCATCTATCCTTAAAAGTCGAAGAGGACTGAGTTTAATTAATCACTCACTGGTAAAGAGTGGGTAAAGCTGCAACGAGTGGAGGTGCATCTCCTCCACGCTGCAGCCTTGGAGAAAATCTGGAGAAAATCGCCTGCAGAAAGGTGGAGAAACAGTCACAAACCAAAAGGACATTTTCACACTAAATACGTCAATCATACATACAAAGCCACCTGAAAAGAGCGTAGGACAGCTTGAACTGTCTTCTGTCCTCCAGTCCGGTCTTTTCAATGCTCACAGTGATGTCACAGTCTTTCGCCCGGTTACCGAGCAGCTCCTGGTTTCTCTGTACCATCAGAAAGTCGCTGTGGTCTTCGAAATACTCTGCACAAACAACTATACGTGTTACAAAATAATCTCTCTTGAGACCCATAACATAAACATTTTTTGACTCCCAGAGCTTCTTCAAATGACCTCAGGACTTTTGCTCTCATGCTTCATATACACATAGCCCACATTAAAATAGTTAAATACCTGTGGGGAACAAAAAGTGTATCTGTGTATTCTACCTGACATTAGACCATTTATTTACTCAATTTGTTTTTGTGGAACCCACAACTAATACTGTTTTTCCTTTGTAAAGTCTGTTGAACGAAGCAGAAGAAAAAAACTAAAACACCAGAGGAGATTTTACCGCTCTTAGTGTCCACTGGCTCTTCCTCAGCTGTCAGCTCAGATGTGGCCTCCAGTCTTAGCACTAGAACTTCCAGCTCTGTCTGGACCGCGACATATCCTCCACACAGTGCCACCTGACAGGGGAGTGAGGTTTCAGCACAGGACACACAGCAAGTTTCTGTTTCTGTTCTAATGTTATATAAATTTAAATAATTTTAAAAATATTTAATTAATATGATTACATGTCATGGAAGATAAATGCTGAATTGCAATTTCGCTACTGATCACATGGTTCTCCCTGAACTCTCTCGTGAAACAGTAGAAAGACAAAAAATATTTGCCATGGCTCATTGTGACATCACAAACTCATTTTACTACTGATCAATGTGCTACTGAACCTCTGAATCATCCCAGATTAAGCCAATATTAGACCCAAAGAACATTTATTTGAACAGGTTCAGTGGAGCTAAAGGGAGTGACTGACAGCTTATTCCGGTCATATTGGCAACTAAAGTCAGAAACCAATAAACAGGCAGCTGTTATTTTGGGTTATGTTGTTGTACCAGTACCTGCTTTGGAGTCATTTTTGGAATATGCAAAATGACAGAGCGCTCAAAATCCAGGACAGAAACATTTGGATTTGAACTTGAAGTCTGACCTATGAGTACAAACACACAATGTCCATTGAGACAGACCAGAAAAGCATATTCGCAACAAAGTTGACATACATTTTTGATGAGCCCCGCTTTTATTCCCCAATTGTTTTACATCAAATATATTGTCCTGTACACCCGAACTATGTTAGAGGTGTATCAGCATGAATTACAAACATTATTGGCAACATGAAATACCTTTTTGGATTTGTATTTTTTAAATTTAAACTGTGAATCAGAGCACCTACTCCTTTGTATCTAATTTCTTCTCGCAGTTGGAAGTGTGATACTGACGTACAGATTGCTGCAACAGTATTAATTATTGTCACATATTAAAACTTTAAATTTGTGTCACCTTGAGTCTGAGTGCAGCTCTGCAGAGGATTCGGGCAACCACTTTCAGGGTTCTGCTGATTCCGATTCTGCAGGAGGGGGTTTTCCAGAAAAACAATCATTGAACCACTGTAACATATCATTGAGCAATGAATCACTTTGCAGTGAAAGGAGTCAGAAAATAAATTTGTTTTCTTTTCACACTACCTCCGTGGTGCATTCGGATACTTTAACATAATATTTGAAACATTAAAGTTACCACAAAAAATGAGAACAGAATGCAGAGATGCACTTTTTAAATCAGCTGAATTCTTACCAGGTTCTGTTGGTTCTGTCTCCTCAATGTAAAGAGAACCAGAGTGTTCTCGCACGCCACCAGAAGGTCTCCTGTTATGGAGCAACAGGCCACGGCAATGGGACGCTCTGAAAGAGGGATCTCAATGATCTCCATCTGCACCGCACCCCAGACAGACGCCCCACGCAACAAATGGCCCAACAAACGCACCCCAACACGGGCCTTCTCCTCTGCCTGAACACAGAGCGTGACAGAACTCATTAATGCACATGATCTTACATTTCTATGATACACAGATATATATATATATATATACATATATATATATATGTATATAGACTTTTCTGAAAAAAAAAAAACCTTTGGGTGAAACATTTGGTTAGAAGCATTTGTTCAGTGTGTGTTGTTCACCTGGTAGCGCCAGTTGGTGTAGGCTCTTAGATAGGTAGCGCTGTTTTTTTCCTCGATGGTTACCAGATAGTCTCCTGAATTTAGAAATGGAGAAAATTAAAAAGCTAATTTGCTAATGTTCTGTTCTCCTAAAGGGTGAATCAGCACTCATTGTGTCTTTGATTACTGTAGCAGAACAAGAGAAAAGGAGAAAAAATGGTCCACACCTATTTTGCTGTGCTGGATGCTCCTCACAGTGCCCATGGTGGCAAAGCGGCAGATGAGAGGACAGCCCTCCTTCAGGCTATAAGCTTCCACCTTGGTTCAGTGCAGCACGCAGTGATATAACAAAACAAAACCGCCCTTTTAAAAAATATAATTTTCTCTAGACTAGACAGAATATTGCAGCCACCCAAAGTATCCAATAAGACAGGGATAAACAGATACAGAATTGTTCATAAAAGCGATTCAATGTCAGTCAAAGGATGGCTTAATATAACCATTATTACTGTTTTACTACACCAAGAAACAACAGATATAAAAAAGTTAACTGCTGGAGTAATGAGGAAACAATACAAAGAAAAAGGACGATAAACGCTGATGAAAAGAAAAGTTTCTGTGAATGAAGTAACCTTGCATCCTCCAGTTGCCACCACAAACAGGACTCCACCTCCACAGCAGACCAGACCAGGTTCCTGCTCCGCCTGAGAAGCAGGGAGAGCATGCAATCAACACTACAGCCAGATTCAAACTTAACTTCATCATTCATATTAATATGCTAAAATAAGCCCTGCACTGACCCAGAGTCAGCAATGCTTCACATACCTGCACAATTTGCTGTGAGGTGAAGGGATGGCAGTTGTAGACATGCACCATTGTCGGTCCTCTTTCTTTTAAGATGTTTCAACCCAGGGTGGATATAAGTGTTAGCTGGGGTTTTATCTTTTTTCCACTCTTCTTGTCAATCTCAGTCTTTTGGAGGCTTCATTTGTCCTGGATTCATATGTCTGCTGTAAGAAAATAAAGTAAGTTTTGAGTTCAGACTCTTTGGATTTCTTTGAAATGTAGATAACCATTACACAGTCATTCCATATACGTAACGGCGCACCACTGTAATAACCAGTTGTAGGTTTGGGAAATATGATGTATGAAATATTGAATGAATGTTAATGTTCTAAATGTAAAGGGAAAAAAACAGAATCCACATGTTTAAGATATTGTAGACTAAATACCCTCCCACATTCACAATGAAATTGAAGAAAATATCAACTGAGAGGCTCAAAACACTGATGATATAATATTTACAGGTTTTGTGAAGTCAGAAGCCCAATTTTCCAGATACATCACTCATCTCAGTTGAAGCTCGGAATTTCAAACTTAACTTGTATATTTACACTACACAATGTATAGTGACAGACATCAGAAAAACAACAAGAGTAAAATAACTGGTATTTATCAAATTTATGTGGCTTTAGCAGATATTCACTAAATGATCCGGGTGGCTGGAACAAGGCAGGAGTTGTGTGTTTTTCTCTAATCGATATCACATGCCGCAGTCTTGTGAGCAGCAGCAGCTCAGGCTGTCTAACCTCGAATCAGAAAAGTCAGACCACTATTTGTCAATATACTTGTTTCTGAGAGTAAAGTTCAGTGCAAATTGGTCAGCAGATTCTTTGATAAGTACCTTCATCAGCGTCAAATCCACAGCTACTTCTCTCTTCCTACTTTAGGGTCTTGGCTGCAGTTTATTGATCTCACGCTGCGAAGGAGGAAGTGAACAGCCAGACACAACAGCGGAGGGCCCGCCTTCTCTTGATTTTAATTGGCTTATGGGCCTGCTTGTTTGTGTTGGGAGTTCTCATTGGCTATAGAGCTGTCATAACCTGAAGGGTGGATCCGCGTTTCCACTCTGTAGTCTTCTTTTTCACTTAAGAAGTGTAAACAGAAGAAATACATCAACTTCTGTGCCGTAATTGAAAATGGGCACGTTTGCCTTTGGTCTTACATTTAAGAAACTGCCGTCTTATATTATTTGCATTTCTTTTAAATCCTCCTTTAATTTGACCATTTCTAACTGAAACGACGCCCATTCACAAATGCACAATAATACAAATATTATTGGTATATTATTATATTTTTGATAAACCATTTATTGACATGTTTCGTTTTCATATTTTTCTCAAAGTTTTAAAAATGCCCATTTCTGTTTTACAAAGTTGCAAAATAGTCTTTTTTATTGACTGTATGTTTTACTTCATAAGATTGTGTGACGTTGAAACACTGACAGCCTTCACTCCGTCTCATTCTAAAGGAGCTGAAGCTGTAATCCAGTTGATGCACTGAATAAAGTATACCACATGGAGGCAGGAGTTTACCCGCTGAAGGATAAGACATGTGACATCTAAAATTGTGCAGCATATTTTTCCCCTTCCGTGAAGAATGGGGAACATGTTACCTTTGTCGACTGCACAGGACATTTTGAAACCACGTTATTCCACGTTTATTCGGGGGTAGTTGTGTTCAACTATCAGATAATTATGAGAGAATCAGAATATTGTATTAAATATGATGCTTGGCTTTTGGTGTATTATGACATCTTTTGGCTCGTTAAGTCCGTGGTTCGATTTAAAACTGATCGAGAAGAGAGAAAAAAGCCTCTTGTCACCAGTGAAAAACATTTAACACATACAGAGAACGTCACATTTTATGACATTCCAACACTTCTCAGAGAGATAACCAGGCATGTTGCCCCTGGAGGTTTAGCCCCACCTTGATTTATTTTCACCCTCCCTCTACTCTGCCACCTGATCATAAAGGAAGTTAACCTAGAATAATGTGCACATCTTTACAAGTCACGTTTATTTTTACTGACGTGCACCATAAGTCATGCTGGCAAAGTTTTTATCCTCGTGGATTAAATTTTCCTGCGGGTGCCGACAGGTATTCCAGGGCTGCAGGTCTCTGCAGACTTTAGTGAAGTGTGGACAGTAGCACATGTTGGTATCATCCAACTTTGGCGTGCGACGTTCCCACCTTAATCAGCGCTCGCGCAGGAGTGCGCGCGCCTCCAGTCCTCAGCGGTCCTCAGCTGAGTGTGCAGCCTGCAGTCTCCCTGCAGCTCCCCGGGCCATCAGCCGCTCTGCAACTTCTGAAAGGTAAGACAGATGACCGTTTCTATTTGTAAAGCTGATTACCCCTTTTTTCAATGTGCATTGATTTGTTTCTATTTGTTGGGAAAGAGCCCCCTTCAAAGATACAAGGATGCAATCCCATAACCATTGCGTTTATCAGGGAGGATACATCTAATGCACTGAGAAATAACCTCTGTAAAAGACACGTGTTTTTAAGATACGCTTCAAATATAGACAATATTGGGACATGTGTTTAAAAACTTGAAGCAATCGCTCCATCTATATGATTTTCTTTTGCAGGGTCAGATTTGCATTTTTATGGTTTTTATTTTCAGAAACCATAATTGCATTTCTAGAACAGGAAATCAGTACAATATAAGCTTGGTCTGAAGTTTTATTACAGTATTGTGAATTTTCTTAAACTAAAACTGAATACGATTCCTGCATTGTAAATCTCAAGAATTGTAACTTGCTCAGTTGAACCTTTTAAAGGTATTGGATTGCTAATAGCTGCTACCATATTGTTAGTAGTACCATTTCATTGCATAAAGTATTCAGTTATTCATGTTATCATTCATGTTGAAAATAGAATCAAAACTCATTTTCAATAATGGAAACTGGGGATATTATTCAGACTGCCAAATTATCAGGTTATATAATTTTGTTTAGTTTTTTCTTTTTAATTGTTTACATTTCTAGAAGTTAAAATTAAATGCTTAAGAATTCCATGCATGTGATGACTAGTTTTAAATTCTTGTGTGCAAGATGTTTTATAGGGCTACAGACTGTAATGCAGAAACATGTTGGCTCAGAGCTCCTGAAACATTTCTGAGCACTAAGCAAGTATGGCTTAAATGAATCTTCGGGATATTGATTTACCAAAAATAACGAGTAAGTACAACCAGTCATGTAATTCAAGTAATATTGGATTAGTCAAATTATTTCAAAGAAAGTGTAGAGGACATCACTTTTGACTAGAAAATGTATCATTTCATGGAGTCAAATTACCTAGCTAAAGTAATTAGCTTTCCCTCTCAGGGCTCGTAAAAATAAATACAAAAATGCAGTATTTAGATAACTAATGTACCTAAGGGAAATTAGTATCAAAGAAGACGTTTGAATCAGAATGAGAAAAGGTCGGCAAAAATCCAAACCAGATGAAAACTGCTAATGTTATGCTGCATTGCAATATGGCCCCTTTGCTCGGAGCTTACAGTGAAAGTCATCCAGAATTTCACACAAATAAGATGTTTGCTGCCGTGTGGCTACTGCTGCAAGCCCAGCCATGCTTGATAGGCACCTGTGCGTGAGACAGAAAGAGAGTGAGACTGACTCTGGGAAAGACAGTGATAACTTGATGGAGTACTTAGTTTCATAAACCGCCTCTGGCTGTGTCTCAACCCTAATCACACACATGAATTGTGAGGATGTTTCAAGTGTTTATAGATAACTTTGACATGGGTTGTTAAATTACATTACATTGATAATAAGGACTAAATTGGATATATCATGTGAGGGTTTTGATAGAAAAGAAAGACCACAGAGGAGAAAAAGAAAAGGTGTTAAATGGCAGCAGCCCTGTGAGGAACATAGTAAAGAAGGAGAAGATAATGCGATAAGAGGTCGAGACCAGAAAAGACAACAAGAAAAGACAGGAAAGTTGGGATTGATGGTTGTAAAGAATGAATAGAAAAAATTATTTAAACTTGGATGGAAAAAATTTGAAAGATGAAATGAAGACAAGAAAAATGGGGATGATCACCTCTTTCTCCCACTGTTAAAAACCTGTCTCTTTTGAATGTTTCATCTGAAATTCAATGAGCATCCCTCTCTGGTTGTATTTAAGCTACTTCTGTAGATACTGTAACCTAGAGGTAAGCACATTCTGTGGACAGCCTCAGACATGTTTTTAAAGCTAGCACCTAACCACAGGGAGAAAATGATATTCCACTAGAGTCAGAGTTTAGCTTCACACCTCAAAAATGGTTCTGGAGGGGCAAAGAGCCTTTTACAAGCTGTGATACTCCTGCTTTCAATCCAGTGCTCGGGTCAAGTTTTGTTGTGTTTTTTTGTGCAGAGGAGAAACCTAAATTCTAAGCTGGTGCTAAAGATTTGACATGAAAATGGTACGATGTCTTGCTTTGGTTTAAAACCAATCAAAGCATTATTTGCTGTGCCTCAAGGGGAAAAAGACTTATATCACTGCATTTCCCTTGGAAAATGTCTGTAATTCGATTCTGGGATGACTTTGATCACCTACTCACATCATTACGATGCTTTTCAGAAGAAAGATCATCCCTGGCCTTGTAGGTACAGAGGACATTGAATATGCAACTTGAGCTAAACCTCGTGAGAGGAAAAAACCTTTGTTACATTTGAGCTAACTTGAATCGCTGGCAGGGTTGTTTGATCTCTCTTTCTTTTAAGCAATCAAAATCTACACTACTTCTCTTAGTAGGAAGAGCTGAAGCTGGCTTGGTGATGGTGCTGATCTTATTTTTGCAGCTTAATTTGGTTGGCTGGACTAAGCATCAGTTTAATGTGATTGGCAAAATGGATGCCCTTGGATTATAGAGGGCAGCCAATACAGGCATTAGGAAGTGGCTGAGTAAAAAGGGGGAGCAGTCCTCTAATGCTGCCTTGGCTCCTCTGGCCCCAGCTTTGCTGTGTTTCAAGGATTTGTTTAAAAGCTATTTCTGTTTAGATCATGAAACAAGTGAGTCTATTTATATTTGATAATAAAAA